GGGTGCAAACTGAAATTTTTTGGAATGAGAGGAGCCACTCCCAGCCACCATTATCAAACACTGAATGCCTTTGAAAGTTAGTTTTTGCTGCATACTTGACAATGGTCCTTCATGAATTTGTCTGAAAATTGCATGAAAAAGCGCTTAATGCAAAGCTTATACTGTGGTTAAGTCATTTTGGTGACAACGAATGTTGTCTGAGTCACAAACTGCTTTATATGGTTCCCTTACGGTCGAAACAAGGAACAAGGAGCACGGCCTCGTTCCGACCCATGCTGGCAGCGGGCGCATTTCCCGAGCTCAGACTGCAGTTCCAGCGCCGCTTTCTGGACCTCAGTGTGAGTGCGAAGGGATCTCCATGTTTCAAAATCCACTGAGCTGTGTGGAGGAGCTCCCACCCACCCTTCACTGGAGAGCGGTAGACTGGGCTGCAATTGCGTGCTGTGGTTCAGGGTCCCCGGGACCCTCCTCAAGTTCAGTATTTGCTGGAATGACTCACGGAACTGAAAAGCAGTTATGCTCATGGTTACAGTTCATGAGGACAAAAGGATACAGACCCAAGTCAGCAAAAGAAACGCATATGTCAGGGTCCAGGAGAGACCAGTGCAAGCTCCCAGTTGGCCTCGCCCAGTGGAGTTGTGGACAGTGCTTAATTCTCTCGGCCACCGCACGTGACAATACACACGCAGTGATGCTTACCTGAGCCTTGGCGTCTGCTGGTTTGTCCCAGATGAGTCGTGTGGTCGTGGCTGGCTTTAGTTGCCCAGGTTACTGCCGTCCGGCAGTCACATCCCCAGGTACGTGAAGACCGTTGTCGGGCAGCAGAGTCCAGGGGCTTTGAGGTTACCTCCCGGAAGCGGGTCAAGGGCCAAACACTTCTTCGGAAGGTATAGGGTGTGGACAGCCCAGACCTGCTGTTAACCCTGTACTGCACGTATCCAGAGAGAAATGTGATAGAGTTTAGGAAATACCTTCCAAGTGATGAATATGCTCCGTTAACATTATACCCTTGTAGGGGCCGGCCTGGTGGTGCAGCGGTTAAGGTCGCACATTCTGCTTCTTGGCAGCCCGGGCTTTGCTGGTTCAGATCCCGGGTGTGGACATGGCACCTCTTGGCAAAAGCCATGCTGTGGTAGGTGTTCCACGTATAAAGTAGAGGAAGATGGGCACGGATGTTAGCTCAGGGCCAGTCTTCCTCAGCAAAGAGAGGAGGATTGGCAGCAGATGTTAGGGCTGATCTTCCTCAAAAAAAAAAAAATTATACCGTTGTAGTTAGAGGTCAGTCTTTGGCTGTACCCATTGGCATGGAAGGACGTTCTCAGATGAGGCATGTAGGATCGCATCACAGATGAGCATGCACAGGGGGACAGACGTTTGCTGTTGATTTTGATGACAGCGAATGCTGACTTCGAACCCCAGTGAAGCATAATGCCCTCCCCTAAAATAGAATCCAGTTCTTCTAACTCGTAGACCCATGTTATTACAAAAGCTTGCACTCAATTATTGTTTTAATTTAAGTTCATCAGTAAAAAGTTTGTGGCAGTACGTTACGTTAGTACCTACGTGATATCCTCGGTGAAGTATTTACTGTCTGGCCCTTTACTGAAAACGGTTCCCACCCTGTGTTCTAATACACAACACCTTACGTGTTACTGTTTATTGAGATCTTCGTTGGTTTTTCTGACCAGTGTTTTGTAGTTTTCAGCATGTAGATCTTTGCACAGAACTTCTGATCTTTAAAGATCTGTAGACAGTTTATTAAATTGATACTCAAGTATTGGATGTTTCTTGGAGCTTTCTACATGCTATTTTGTATCCTCTGACCTTGCTAACCCTCACTCTTTACTTTTAATAGCTTTTCTGTAGACTGAGAATTTCCGTGTAGACAGTCACGTCATCCTGCATGTAGAAAGTTTTACCTCTTCCTTCCCATCTGGATGCCATTCGTTCCCTTGTTTCCTCCTCGCACTGACTGGGGCCTCTAAGGTGAACGGCAGTGCAGAGAGTTGACATCCTTGCTTCCTTCCTGATTTTAGGGGAAGGCATCCAGTGTCATCATCAAGTATGACGTTAGCTGTAGGTGTTTCGTAAATGCCTTTTATCGGGTTGAGGGAGTTCCCTTTAACGCCTGGTTTGCTTAAGAGTGTGTATCAGGAATATGTGTTGGATTTTGTCCAATCTTCTCCTGCTTCTATTGAGATGGTCATGATTCTTTATTCTCTTGATGCAATTTTCGATGTTGAGCCAACCTTGTATCCCCAGATGAATCCAGTGGTGGAGATTTATTAGCCTTTTTATGTGTTGCTAGCTCCGATTTGCTGTGTTTTGTTGAGAAGTTCTGCATCTGTGTTCATGAGGGATGTTGCCCCGTGGGTTTCTTGTGATATCTTTGTCTGGTTGTGGTATCGGTGTGATGCTGACCTCGTGAGCCGGTCGGGGAGTGTTCTCTCCTCTTCTGCTTTTGAAAGAGTTGATGTGGACTTGGTGTTAAATCTTCCTTAAATGTTTGGTGGGACTCCCCAGTGAAGCCATCGGGCCTGGAAGGGTTTTTCTTTCTTTCTTTTTCTTTCTGGTTGTTGTTGGGAGGTTTTCATCTGTGAATTCAGCTTCTCTAAGAGGTGTGGGGTGGCCTGTCGCTTCCTGGGTGAACTTTGGTCCTTCATGTCTTTCAAGCTCTTGGTCTGTTCCTTCCAAGTTGTCCTACTGACTGGTCAAGCTGACGTACGTCCCTCCTGCTATTCTCACGGCCGCAGGACGTGCGCTGATGTCCCCTCTTGCGTTCCTGGTGTTGGTTCTGTGTGGCTTCTCTCTTTTTTGTCAGCCTTGCCTGAGGTTCTTCGATTGTTTGATTGCTGGATTGTTTTAGTGAGCAGCTTTGGCCCCATTAATTTGCCGCTGTTGTGTTTCACTCCCTTGGTTTTTACTCCTTAGAATTTCCTGCCTTCCAGCTTGTTTGTTTTCCCATTTACTGAAGTGTGATCTACATACAGTAAAGTCCGCTCCTCGTAAGTTCTGTGAGTTTTGGGAAATGTGTGCAGTCATGAGAGAGCCCAGTTCCTGCCCCCAGGCCCGAGTGGTCACCCCTCCTGCGGCCTGCAGCCCTGCAGGGTGCCCCCAAGTGTTGTCGGAGCGCAGCGTAACCAGCAGGACTTCAGCTGGGCACTGCCGAGGAGCCTGCCCCTGGACAGCCAGACCCGCTGCTGGTCTGTCTGCTCCCCTCTTGAGGGGAGCATTCAGGTTATTTCCAGTTTGGGGCACATATGAATAATTATTTCAGGTTTAATTTGCTCTTTATCTAGTTGCTTAGAATGAAAGCTTAGAAGATTGATTTGAAACCTTTTTATAAAAATGGCTTTACTGAGATGTAATTTACATGTGATGAAATTCACCCATTTTGAGTGTGCAGTTCTCTGAGTTAGTATTTTCATGAGTTGTACAGGATTGCCACACTGTAAGTTCAGAGCCCTCCCGTCACCCTAAAGCAAGCCTCGCACCCTGAAGTCCCCTCCTGCGGCTCCCTCTGTTTGCAGCTAGCCTCTGAACGGCCCACGAGCACTGGAGCTGGGCTCGCTTTGGATCTTTAGTATCGTTGCTCTTGTTCTGTGGAGCTCTTTGAGGGTGTGGCATGTCTGAGCCCCTCTGTCCTCAGGGTAGCACGTGTGAGCCTGGGGAGCAGTGTTCATAGATGTGTGCCCCCTCAGGTGTGTGCCTGCAGGTGCATCTTCACAGGTGTGCACCCACAGGTGGGTCCCCACAGGCGTATCCTCACAGGTGTGTACCTGAAGGAGTGCATCAGTGGCAGGAGACAGGTGCTTTTTCAGGCCCCTCCACAGGGTCCAGGCAGCACAGGTGGGACCTCCCACGTGGACAGGGCCATGCCTGCTCCTTTGGCATGTGCTCGTCTTCCTGCAGCTTGCCGAATCTGTGCCCAGTTGTGGGCATTTGGGCCATATCCAGGCTTTACTGGATTCCAGCTAAGAGGAACCTCCTGGCTGGCCATCTCCGGCAGGACCTCGGGCCTCCGCCATGGGTGGCGAGTGGCGGGGGGAAGGTGTTCCTGGGCAGTTCGGTGGGGATGGCAGCTTGGCCTGCTTCTCAAGCTGAGCCTTCCCTGATCTGCTCCAGGATGCCTGGAGCATCGAGGCCTTGGCCGGGCAGCCAGGCTGGCAGCTGGGTGGCCTCCCACTGTGGGCATCTTGGGAAATCTTGGGAGACTGCCAGCCTCCCCAGGCCAGAGCCTGACTCTCCCCCTGTGGAGCCTGTGGGAAGGTGGAAAGCACATGTGGTTTCTCTGTGAGGGAAGTTGGTGCTGACCTGATGGTCTAAGGGACCCAGTGGGGTGGTGGCGGCACCCTCTGATCTCACGCCTCTGGGAGCCTGACACCGTGCCTGTGCCAGCAAGCTCTGCTTGGTTTCTGTGCCTGCCTCTGCCCAGGAGGCCCAGCCTCAATTTATTTGTAGAGGGACATGGGGGGGGGGGGGTGTGCCTGGAGCCGGAGGAGGAGAGGCAGGGTCCGGTAGCCCCTGGTGTGCTGGCATGGTCTTTGGGGCTGGTGGTGGCACTGCCTGTAGCTGTCCTTCCTGCTCTGGCTGCGTGACTCTCAGGCCACCCTCCAGGCCAGCAGCAGCCTCCTGGGAAGGTGTCCCCAGGGGGAAGCTGCCTGGCCCCCATGCCTCTCCTGGGAGGGACGGACCTCCTGGAGTTGGGACCCCTGGGATGGGGACCCACACTCTGGGCCCTGCCTGGAGCGGCCCCCTCCTGCCTTGTCTCGGGCCCTTGCCTAGCACCCACTGATGGGGTTCTGGGTAGATCATCTTCCCCTGGGGACAGTGGGGACTTCACCTCCTTCATTCGCTCCTGTTCCCCAGCCCCCAGAACTGAGGGTGCGAGTGAGTGGAGTGGGGGGTCTGGGCTTCCCTGGGTCCCTGGGGCGGCAGGTGGTTCTGAGTGTGGCGGGTCCTATGCTGTGGGGTGACACTCTCTCTCTACCTGTTTGCAGACTATGTGTACTTCGAGAATTCCTCCAGCAACCCTTACCTGATCCGGAGAATCGAGGAGCTCAACAAGGTAGCGTGTGTGTGTGCACCTGGCAGCCCTGTCCCTGCTGGTGGGGGGCAGGGTGGACCCGCCTTTCCTGTGGCTCTGCCCCAGGTCGTCATCATGGATGAGACAAAACACGCCCCCAGCCCCTGTGCCATGTTTGCAGGGGCCTGAGGGGCTGCGTGGACTTTGGGACTGGCCTTGGACTGGCCACTGTCTGCTCAGACCTTTGGTGGCTTTGTCCCCAGGATCACTTGCCTAGAACTGGGTCCTCCTCCTTGGAGAGCCCATTAGTGAGGTCCCTGGTGTTGCTTGAGGGACATGCTCAGAGGGTGCCTGAGCAGAACAGAAGTGTTCAGAGGGAGTCCGGATTGGATGATTCTGGAGACCAACCAAAGCCCCAGGGAAGTGGCCTGGGCGACCAGAGCCCGAGGGTCTGCGTGGGGTCCCCACGGCTGGGCATTCCCTGCCTGTCTCCTGCCTCCCTTCCCACTCACTCAGGCCACCCTCCTCCCTGCCACTCCTGGCCGGGGGAGAGTCACGGCAGGTGCTTGCGAGTCTGTCGGGACAAGGTTGTGCTGCCTGAGGCCAGGTGCACCCGGAGCCTGCCTGGGGCCTGGGGGTGTGGAGGGGGTGGGCTTGCGGTTCCAGCCCCGCTCCTCCCCCATCTCAGATTTGGAGTAGGCTCTGTCTTTGGTCAGAGCTTCTCGCATCCTCCTGGCCGGCGGGAACGGGGCGTCTCTCTCTGACCAGGAGGTGTGAGCCGCCTCCTGCCTCTCCTGCTGGCCTCCTGGTTGGAGGCGTTCCTGGCAGAGAGGGCTGGGGGAGAGGGCAGGTGTGTCCCTTCCTTCTCCGTGGACATGGCCACAGTGACGCTGGGTCAGCACGGCCCCTGGCCCTGCAGCTCCTTCCTCCCTGGGCCGCTTCCTTTGATCCCTGACGAGCGGCTGCTGTGCCCCTCTCTGAAGCAGCCCCCCTCCCGGAAGCACCTGTTGTCACTCTTGCTGGCGAGAGGGGCCCCTCTGTGCCTCTTTGAGGCTAGCCCTCAAGAAGCTGCTTTCTTGGACCTCAGGCTTTGTGACAGCGTGGTTTGCGATTCTTGGGGCGAGGCAGGGATGGAATGGGAGGGTCAGGTGCTAACCCCCAAGGATCAGACTTAGCTGCAGCCGAACCTGACCCCTTGGCCATGCTCGCCAAGGGCCTCTCACTATGTCACCACCATGTCACCACCATGATAGTGTCACCACTGGTCACCACCAGTGGTGTCACCACCACTTGCCAGGACAAGGTGGGGGTGCCCATGCCCTGAAGCCTCAGCCCCAGCTTGAGCCCATCGGGCTGGTTAGACTGACCTGGCAGCTCTTGGAAGGTCTGGGGCCAGATCTGGAAGTGGCAGGGTCCGGGGCAGCGACTGGGACGTCCTGTGGGGCCACTGCACTGCTGGAACCCATGCCCCTGCAGGTGCCTTGTCAGGGGTCCTGCTCACAGCCTCCCCAAGCCTCACGGCCAGCAGGAGAAGGGGCAGCCGGCGTCTGCAGCTGAAACGGGAGCGAGTGGTCACCTCTCTGCTTGTGTTGGCATACATTCACTTGGGGACATGAGGAGACAGGGATGAGATTCCTCAAATGGCAGTGGAGCACAGCTGGAGGAGGCTAGGGGTCCACCATGTCCTCTTGAGTCTCTATAGTGACAGGTGGTTGCTGGCAAGTGGGGCCATGGCAGCCCGGTCTTCTTGGGGCACGGGGCAGGCAACACCCCAGGGCAGGCGGCACCCAATGGCAGGGGCCTTAAGTGCCTTCGGTGACGGGGTTCCAAAGGTCTTTCCCCTCGCTCTTGCCATGATGTGCAGAGGGCAGATCACACAGTTGGGGCCGTGGCGTCTGCTCATGACAGCCACGTGTGTGACGGCAAGATATAGACAGAGCATTGACTCCCTACAGTGGTGGCAATGGTTGGTGCTGTGTCGAGCTCCTGCTCAGGGCCAAGACCATGGGACCTCTGTGTTTGTGTGCTGTAGTCTCTCCGACAGACCAGGTCAGAGGGTGGGGCGGCTGAGGGACTTGCCAGAGGTCCTGCCCCCAGCAGAGCAGGAGATGATATAGTGGTGGGAAATTCCAGGATTCCTGAGGCGGGAACACAGCTAGGGGGCTTCTAGGTAGGCACCGCCACCTGAACATACTCTGTTCTCTTGCTCTCGACATCCCCTAGAATAGCAGGAAAGCAATGCCAGGGTTCTGCACCCCAAAGATGGAGAGAATGGGAGGTGTGGACGCAGATTTGGAAACAGGAAAGCTCCTGCTCCCCAGGTGTGGTGGTAGGAACGGTACTCACCTGCAGGGCTTGGCCCAGGTACCACTGAGGCAGCTGGTGTGGGTCGAGAACACAGAAGGCCTCCCAGCCTTCACAGCTCACGGGAGCAGGCTGGGTGAACCAGAGGCTGGAGTTGTTCCAGGAAGGCTGTTAACGTGAAGACTGGTCAAGACAAACCGGGAAGAGGAGCTGATGCAGGGAGCAGAAGAAAAGTAAAAGCAGAGAAAGCACTCCTCTCCTCAGAGAAGCAGGATGGGGATGCTGTGAAACGGGAAGATCTGGAGAGTTAGGAAGAGGCCTGACAGTTATTAGCAGAAATAAAGAATGGAGTGATAAAGCTGGGGACAGAGGCTGGGACGAAGGCACTGAGAGACTAGGAGAGAAACAGAGGTCCAACATCCAGATAGAAGGAGCTGTAGGAACCAGGGGCCCTGCGGACAGAGGGACCCGAGAAAGTGCCCCTCAGCCCCTGCTGCTGACAGGAGCACGGGGGACAGCGTGGAATTCGAGGTGAGTTTGAGGACGAGCGGTGAGGGTTAGGTTTGGAGTGTGGAGTGTGGGGATCTCAGGAGAGCGCAGCAGAAAGGCAGGAGAGACGGGGCTGCCGACCCCAAGGTCTGGATGATGGAAGGGACAGGCCTGGGGGGTCTCCTCCACTCCCCCCACACACAAAGCCTGTCCCCGAGCGACGGTCGCCCCATGCAGGTGGGCAACAGACGAGGCGCCCTGCAGTTGCCCAGCCTTCCACCCGGAGGCCCTTTGGGACCCCAGCATGGGGCAGGGGACCGAGCACATTGAGGAGACAGGTCGTAGTTGTGAGAGACTGAGGCTCCCGGGATCTGGGGGGAGCACCGGAGAGGGTTCCAGAAGCCTTGGGGTCCTGGATGTTGCCTGAGCTGGGCTCACATAGGTGCACCTGGAGAGCAGAGTGGGGAACAGACGGGGGAAACGCATGTTCTCGGGGGGCCGGGGTGCAGGTCCCAGCAGCCAGAGGGGTAAGACCTGTTCAACCCCTGGGGCATTCAGCCAGGACCCTGGAAGGGGTGCAGCCTAGAGTGGGGCTGCTGTAGGTCAGCCTTGGAGGGAGGGGCCACAATGCGTCAGAGAAAGAGGGTGTGTGGCTGCAGACCCCACAGACCCCGCCAGGTGCGCAGTGTGTCAGCACACCTGGAAACTTAGGGGATATGGATAAACGCCCTGAAAACACAAGGCGAAAATGGTTTCCAAAGGACCGAATTATGACTACTATTTAATTTAAAGTTTTAGTGGTCATTGTTTTAGATTTGTCCTAGATTGCTTCTGTGGTCCTGTCTCAGTATTGGGTATATGTGTTGTGTTGAATGTCCCTTGTCATTTCAAACACAGCAGACGGTTTCTGGAACTGTTTCTAGGAGGTACTTTTTGATCTGGGGTTCACGGCTTGGGCAAAACCTTAAATGCCTCTGAAAACTGAAAATGTTTACAAGTCTTTAACAGCCATTTTGACAAATTGTGGTTTTAAAAACTTAGCCTTCCTACGGTAAAGCTGGGCGCCACCTTCAAGCACCCTGAAGAGTCCTTTATTCTTTTTGTATTCTTTCCTGGTCTGCACTGAGGGTGACCGTCGTCGGTGAGCATGTGGCCGTGTTTGTGGTGAACTCGCAAAGCAGCACGGTTGATAATCCTTTTAATTAGTGCTCTCAGGTGTGAAGGTCTTGAAACTGTTGAAAGATTACTCGTCTAATGGACTCAAATAAGGAAAAACTAAATACTTTTCTTAAAGACAGTTTTGTTTAATGTTATAAGTGTTTGTACACTAAATCTATAATGGTTAGAATTGTGATACAAACCTTGCATTATTATAAAAAATTCTATAACTCCTGTTAGTTCAAAAAAGATACTTTCTTCCTATGAGGTTATTTACCCTCCAGGCTTCCTCAGCATCCTGGCTCCCTCTGTTCTCTTTCTGTACTTAGTAGGCTGTTTGCAAGCCCTTAACATTGGCCCTGCGCATCGGCTGCGCGGCTTCCACAGCTGTTGCAGTCGCGGCAGCGTTCCCCCTCGTGCTGGTGTGCAGGCGGCCAGCTCCAAGTCCCAGCTGTTTCCCGTGCGGATCCAGATCCCAGGGCCCTCCTCTCCCCTGGCAGCAGGGGTTTGCTCGCTGGGAGTGACGGAGCCCAGCGGTCGGCTGTCCTCGATCATGCCCCTCTGCCTGCCGGAGAGCAAGGGGTGGCTCCAAGGCTGAAGGCAGAGCGAGGTTTGGCTGAACACTGGTCACAGCTTTCCTTTCCCAGGGCCGGGGGTCACCCAGGTTCCAGCCCCACGCAAGCAAGGCCTCGGGGAGGGACTCGGAGGCCCAGTCCCCCTCACGGCAAGGAGGCGGAGGGGGTGGAAGAGCCCGGCAGGCAGTGGCTCTCGTGTCCTGCCTCCTCAGGGCCGAGTTCTGGGGGGCAGGCTTGGCATTAGGAGGGGCCGGGGTCCACCTGGTGTTCTCAGGTGGCACCCGAGGGAGGAGGAGGGGCAGAGACTGGCCTGAGGACCTGAGTGTGTCCCCTCCTGGATCAGAAGTGCCACTGCCCCTCAGCTCACAGGAACGCTGGGCCCACTCAGAGGGCCTCGGCATGCTCTGGGGTTGGCTCCTCTCGAGTGCCCATCGCGGGTCACACCCCAGGTCCTAGGCAGGGGTTGCCCCTCCTGGGAGCCGCGAGTGCCGTCTGGTGGTGTTTCCACCCCAGGCTGGGGCCCGTGCGTTCCTCACGCCGTGCCTTGCTGTTGCAGACGGCCAACGGGAACGTGGAGGCCAAGGTGGTGTGCTTCTACAGGAGGCGGGACATCTCCAGCGCCCTCATCGCCCTGGCTGACAAGCACGCAAGTGAGTCTGGGCCTTTCTGGGGGGTGGCCCTGCCCGTCCCGGTGTGTGGCTCTTGTGGTCCTGACCCTCCCTCTTTGCTCTCCCGGCCTCCCCTCTCCCTCTGCAGCCACAGCCTTGGGCTCTGGGCCCCGGTTGGGGTTAAGGAAGTCCCAGTGTGGCCCCTTGGGGCCTCCCTGCGCCCTGTGCTTTTCTGAGAAGCTGGGCCTGTCACAAGCTTGTCTGGGGTGTGGCTGGCTGACACTTACATGAGGTTTTTTCCTAATGTGATTAATGTTGGAGGCTTTTCAAATCCAGTTGGACGATTCCTTGGGTGTTATGGGGTGGGGGGGCGTGGGGCCAAGGCTGCTGCTGGTCCAGATGTTTCCTTTGATGTTTTGAATAGTGTTTTCAGGAACCAAGTCTCCCTCTATTTACGATTCAAACCTAAGTCTAAGAAACACTGACTCCAGGGACCCTTAACCAGCTCAACATGAGCATCAGAAGCTTCTGGCCCACGAGGTGCGCTCAGGCTCGTCTCCTTATCAGGGGCTGGTGTTCTTACTCTAACACAGCCTCCACAGACTGCTGGACCAGTCCACATCTGCTTCCATGTGGGAAACATTACTTCAGAGTCTCGGCTGCCCTGTGTCCTCCACGCATCTGGGGCCAGAGAAGCCCATAGAGGCCTGTGTCCCAGATGCAGTGTTATGTCGGTTCCACATGGCCCCTCCTTCTGCTGACGAGGTGGGAGGTTCCAAGGTCTCCCACCTGGGGGTGGGATCTGCCCAAGAATATGACTGTCCCTGGTCCCCCAGACTCTTGACCACAGGGCTGCCCTGGGCCAGCCTTGCTGCCAGGCCGTCCATCCTGGGGACAGTTACATTTCTTGTCCTGAGTTTGTCAAGTTTCATCCCTGACTCTGCTCTTGTCACTGAGATGGGCAAAGGTCCCCCACTTGTGGGCCACCCCTTGCTAATCCTGGCTCCTCTGGGTGGAGGCCAGGCATGGGAGAGCTGGGACCTCCCAGCAATGGCCAGCCGGCTGGGCCTCACCCAGGCTCCAGGTCAAGGCGGGGACTCAGGCAGGAGTCCTTCTGAGTGAGAGGCAAGACACCCAGGTTGGGTGGCCTGGGACTGGGTCTTCCTAGGCTTCAGGGATGAAGGTGTGGGGTGAAGGAAGAAGCATTTAGGGCCTCATGTCCCTGCCTTACAGCTAGAGCCCTGTTCCCAGCACCCTGGGTGGGATGGAGTCTTCAGCTATCCTCAGGGTCAGCCCTGCTGGGCTGGGCCCCAGGACAGGCCCCTATGCTGCACAGGGGTGGATGAGCTCCTGGGAGAGCCCCACAGGCTGTAGGATGTGAGCTGGCTCCAAGGGAGCAGCCAGTTCTTTGCTGGCCTTATCTGGCTTCCTGGGAGCATAGGATCCTGGGTGGTATTTGCCCGAGGGCCGTGGTCGCCAGAACAGCCGTGGGTCTGGGCCATGGTGCATTTTACACCACCTTGTAGTTTTTCTGGCCTTTGTGCCCTTTGGGTCTTATTTCATTAGCGGTATCCTCGTGATGCAAGTGGCTCTGTGTCCAATGGTAAACGAAGCTTGCCCGGAGAGGGAAGCATTAGAGGCGGGGTGCAGTGGCCCCTTGACTCTGACCCTAAAGTCTGTGCCCACCACCCCCACACTGTGACCTCCAGGTGTCAAGGAAAAGAGCTGGGGAGTCCCTGGGGTCTGCAAGCTGCATGTTCCAGGGCAGTGGTCCCTGTGGTCACTGGCCCTGCAGGTGTCAGCGAGGCTGGTTCCTGTTCCATGCTGTCAGGACGCTGATGGGGGCCTCAGGGAGTGGGCTGCCAGGCCGTGGACCTGCTGGCCCATGTGGCTCAGGACGGCAAGTCTCACCATCGACTCGGGTATCAAGGACTGGAGACCTGCTCCTTACCTGTGTCCACTGCCCAGCCCAGAGCAATCGCAGTCTTCACCCCATTGGTACATGGTGGCACACTGTGTCCATTGGCCCGGAGAGTCTGGGCCAGTGGTTTGAGGGTTCTGTGGCCCCATGGGCCCAGGCTCTCCTGCTGTCAGGCACCCCCAGGTCAGCTCCTGGCCGAGAGGGTTCCAGGAGGAGCTCGGCTGGCCGTTACGTGACAGGAGCTGTTGGAGGGGCAGGTTTTCAGAAGCGCCACGTTGGAGTTGTTGGGACTGGGACTTGGCAGCATCCCAACTGAGGCAGTGGCCCTGAGGTGCTGGCGGAGCCCCTGATGCCATAATTCCTGGAGAGCTACCCCGGGAGGCCTGTCCGCAGCCGGCTCTGCGCATGTAAAGTTACGTGCTGTGGACTAAAAGCCAAGCTGCAGGGAGCGCAGGTCATACATGATGGTCTGCTGCTCTGCCGAGGCCACCAGCTCGCCTAGCTCGGTGCAGGAGCCCATCCGTTTCTCGGGAGTCTCCATCCTCTGTACCAGCTGCCCTGTCTCGCAGTGATTCCTGCAGGAGCTACCGTCCATGGGGCCACCTCTCCCGGTGTGCTCATGTGAGCTGTGGCCAGGGTGAGGCTGGTCCATCCTGCTGCCTAGGGCCCTGCTCAGCGTCGCCGGACAGGTGTGAGGACAGTCTGGGGGCTGTTGTGGCAGGAGGGACGGAGCCCATGGGAGCCCCTTGCTCCATCAAGGAGGCCTCTGGCCCACACAGTCAGATTAGCAGCTAGGGTTTCTTCTAGGCCTGAGACAGAAGCCCCCACCTTACTCCTGTCAGGGTGTCTGGCCCCCAGGTGGGCCAGACGCCCCTGTGCTGCACAGGCCGCCCTGCGGCAGTGAAGCCCCTCTCCCGACACTCATCCCAAGGTCTCCCAGGCTGCCATCCGCTCAGGCCTGGACCTTCATGGGGACCAGAACAGCTGACTTGGGCCATAGAGACCGCAGCCGTAGCCCCCTGCCCTGAGGCGTGCGTGCACATGCGCACGCGCAGAGCTGCCCTTCTGAGAGCAAGACCTTGCCCTGACAGAATGGCAGGCACAGGTGACAGGCCCTCCCTGAAGCCCTCCGGATGAGCTGCGGGGGCTCAGGATGGCTGGTGGGGTGTGTACTGAGTCTGCCTGTGCCTTGGGGCTGAGCCTGGGGCTCACTCTGCCGCCTGCCCCTGGGCTAAGCCCCTGGACTCCTGGAGGCCGCGTACCCCTGCACCATGCAGGCTCGAGGGCTGGCCAGCCCAGAGGAGTGCTGGGCAGGGACAGGCCCGTGGGGAGGCTGGAGGCCAGCCTGATGCAAGTCCTGGACATTCCCGGGCCCCCTCCTCACCCTGCTGGTCCAGGCTGGGGAGGGGCTGTGTCTGTGGGCCTGAAATGGGTGCTGCCCACAGGGACCTTGGCCAGCAGGGCCCAGGATGACAGCCTCTGGTCCTTGTTCCTAGCTGTGCTGCCTGGGCCAGTGGTACTGTCACAGGGCGAGCTTCTAGGCACTAGTGACGTCCCCAGTCTGGGGGTGCACTGTGCTCGTGGGGTCTCTGGGAGTGGGCGGGGAGGTGACAGGCTCAGCGGTGTGGATACTGTGGCTCCTGTGGCCCATCATCTGGAGCTGCCTACCCCCCAGCCCCCAACCCTGGCCTCTGTCTAAACTCCTAATGGCTGGGGTCCTGGGCCTTCCTGGGGACTGTGGCAGTTGAGGGGACTCTCCGCAGCCACCACAGGGGGGCAGCAGAGGGCTGTGCATGAGGAGAGGGAAGGGGGTGCCTGGGTGGGGAGTGGCCAGGGGAGGGTGCGCAGGGACAGCTGGCAGCATGGCTCCATGCCCCGCCCCTGCCTCTGGGGCCTGGGATAGGGTGGGGGTTAGCTACATGTCTGGCAGCTCCCTTGGATGCTGTCCAGAGCGTGGCCGAGCTGCACATGCTCCTGCACTGTGTCGTGCCTCCCTGTCCCCTGCACCACTGCAGCTCCCACCGTGCCTTTAGGGGCACCACACACCCCAGGGGAGTGTGCCAGGGGGCTGCCTCATGGAGGCCGCCCTGCGTCCCACTCCCCACACACATGAGTTTCAGGATCTCCCCGTGGACATCGCTGTCCCAGCCCTGGAGGCGTGGTCAGGGCCCCCAGCACCAGAGCGGGTGGGTGGGTGGCTGAGGTTGGCTGGATGGGATGTCCAGAGGCCCGGGTATTTTCCGGCTTTGGCCGGTGGTCTTCACTCCCCTCCAGGAGGCCGGCGCCCATGTCTGCCCTGCCTCCCCGCCTCGAAGCCTTATTGCTAACCTACGCTCTGGGTGCTGTCTGTCTGTTCTATAGCCTTGTCAGTCTGCTATAAAACCGGACCAGGGGCCGACAACGGCGAGGAAGGTAAGACTGCCTCTGCAGGTGGGTCCTCGTGTCTGTGTGCTGCTGCGGGGGCACCTGGCCGCCTGCCTGCCCGTCTCTGCACTCTTGCCGCAGCTCGCCGCAGGGTCCTGCTGGTGCCAGGAGGGGTATGAGGCAGAAACTGTCCCAGCCTTGGGCTCCGCAGTGGGCATCTGCCCTCCCATCCCCACTGGGGATGGCTTCTGCCTCATTTTCCCTTCTGCTCTGTTGCCTGCTGCTTCTGAGGCTGACACAAGACGCTGTCTTCTGTCTCCCCGTCCTGCTGCCCGGGGTCTGGGCTTTCGGGGTGCCTGGGCGTGGACGGGCACATGGGCACCAGGGCGTCTGCTGGGGGCCTGCAGGGAGCTCCGTGGCCACCCCGGGTCGGGCAAGGGGAGGGGTGTGCAGCCGGTTGGCGGGCCTTTGCAGGGCCGGCTGACGGGCTCTTTGTCCTTCAGGAGAAATCGAGGAGGAAATGGAGAACCCAGAAATGGTGGACCTGCCTGAGAAGCTCAAGCACCAGTTGCGGCATCGGGAGCTGTTCCTCTCGCGACAGCTGGAGTCGCTGCCTGCCACCCACATCAGGTACGCAGGGCCGGGCAGGCGCGAGGGGTCTGCCCCTCCTCCTCTGACAGCGCATCCTTGTCTTGCAGGGGAAAGTGCAGCGTCACCCTGCTCAACGAGACCGAGTCTCTCAAGTCCTACCTGGAGCGAGAGGTGAGGTTGGCCGCTGGGGTCCCCCGACGCTGCGGGCTCGGGCCTCCTGGTGCGTGGAGGTGGAGCCTGGGCCCCATCCCCCCGCTGCTGGCCTCTGCTAGGCTGGGTGAGGAGATGCTTCTCCCACCTCACTCTGGGCCCAGACCCTTCCCTGCCCGCAGCACCCTGATACCAGGCGCTGGCCACCTCCCTTCCCGCTGTCCTGTGCAGCCCCCCTCCAGAGTGATGTCTGCTCCCTCCACCCGGCAGGATCTGGGATGGGCACAGTTGGCGCGTTCCCTCTGGAACGGCTTGTCTTGGAGCGATAATGATGGAGGCTCGCACTCTCACAGCAGACATGTGGCCATGCAGCCATCCAGACCACTGCCTCGAGCCCTAACGGTGTTGACCCAGAACCCTGCTGGCTGGTTGACAAGAAGGGTTTCTAAGTTGGTAAAATCAGAAATGTCACTGCTGCCAGGGACTTGGGGCCGGGGCCTTGGGACCAACCTCCCTCCCCCACGGACAAGAACTGGTGACCCCCATACACTGTAGGATGCTACCCACCCGGTCCCATCCACTCCCTGAGTTGAAACAACCAAAAATGTCTCCAGATAGTGGACATGCCCCGGCGGGCCGTGGTGCCCCAGTGAGAGCCGCCGTCCTGGGGATGAGAGACGGCCAGCTGGGATCTGGAGCAGCTGGGGTACATTAGTTACGTGGAGGGATGGGTGGCCGTGTAAGGAGACTCCTGGGGTCAGCTGAGGAGTGGGTGTGTTTTTGTCCCGGCTTCGGGGCCTGAGGCCCCTCCCCACGTGTCCCCATGGAGCCCTTGGGTCTCCTAAGAGACCTCCCTCAGCCCACTCTGCCTGTGGCCGCCCCACAGCTCTGCACCTCCAACTCAACACTCCTTGCAGAAGTGTCATCGTCTGTGGGTGGCACCACTTATTCTTGCCACAGGCCCCTCCCACTATGCACAGTCCGCCTCATCGTGGAGCTCAGGGGGACACGGTGGGTGGGCAACAGACTACGGATGAGAACAGGAGATGGCAGTCTGGCGAGGGTCTCCCGGTGCTGTGGCTGCATCCGGGGTCTGGCTCAGGGAAGCTGTCAGGAAACAGTGCCTGCAATCAGTCCTGAAGCACAGGCCGGGCTCGGCCAGGGCAGCAGGGGCTCCGGGGGGACACCATGCACCAGCACTTTGGGAGAAGGCCACCTGGAGCCTGGTGCTCCGGGAAGAGAAGGGCTGGGCGTGACCAGAAAGACCCCTTAGTGACAACCACACAGGAAGTGATGCGGAGAGGTGCTGGTGAACGAAAAGGCTCGGTGTGAACAGCTGGCCTCTGGCAAGCATGTGTGTGCCATGTCACATGTACACAGAAGCAGCTTTGGACCGACATTCGGGGACCGTGCGCGTCTCCAGGTGGTGGGGCCGGGGGTGCCTGCCTGTTTGCACTCGCCTGCTGGGGAAGCACATCAGTCTCACACGATGAGGAAGCAGGCTGCCAGTTGGGGGCTGGGCATCCTGACACCCCCGACTCGCAGCACGGCCTTCCCTCCGCAGGTCTGAGCGGCCGCGCCCGGAGCAGTGCGTCCCGTCCCCGTCAGGCATCAGGCCGGCCTCGCAGGCAGGCGTTAGTCGACACAGGCTCACACCAGAGGAAGACGTGCAGAGGGAGCAGCAGGGGCAGTTTATTAACTTAAAGAAACACAGAACAGGTGGCAGGCTGAGGTGGCCGCGGGCGGGTTTGGAACAGAGCGGATAGAGCAAGGGCTAGAGAAGCAGCCAAAGAGGCGCCCAGGGAGGTAAAGTGGGGGCTCAGGGCGAGTGGAGCCCCAGGCACACGGGCGCCCAGACCCCGAGTGTACCCCGCTGAGACCTCCGGTCAAAGGCCTAGGTCAGCAGGCTTGCTGTTCAAAAACAATCCAGTCCAGCTTGACGCGTTTCCAAGAAACACGAGTGAACGCTGGGACTCAGCGCCGGACGGCAAAGGGCCGGGAAGGCTGGGTTGTGCAAATTCCAGGCGGAGCAGCTTGGTACCCGGCGAGTTAGGGGAAGATGGGCTTAGAGGCAGAGGCTGGAGTTGCGATGAGCGGGGCACGGCCTGCAACTCCGCTGACAGCTCTGGGCATCGAGTCCAGAACATTCTGTAACTCCTCATTTGTGTATGTCTCCTGTGACAACCCACACGAAAACCGCACCATCTTCTCGAAGGACGTGCCCAGAATCTGTCGGATTTATCCCTAGATGACTTAGGATTTTGGTTGCTATTAAACACTTTTATAAACTGAGCTTTCGAGCTGTCGCTGCTGATAGAAGGGCAGCAGTTTGGGGGTGTTGGTCATGCCCAGTGGCCTCAGCCAGTGCTCTTGCTGAATCTGGTGATCTGTCAGCTGTTGGCGGGTTCTAAACAGGCCATCCTCTTGTGCTGTGGTTACATCGGCATCTGTCCTGATTCTCCGTTTTTGTGTATTTTCCCCAGTGTCCTGACCTCCACCGCGAGCTCCAACGGCAGTGGGGCCCCACTGTGGGCTCTAGCGAGGCCTCCTCGGCGCCACGTGCTGACGCCTGTCCCGTGTGATGTTTTTCAGGATTTCTTCTTCTATTCTCTAGTCTACGACCCACAGCAGAAGACCCTCCTGGCTGATAAAGGAGAGATTCGCGTAGGGAACCGGTACCAGGCGGACATCACTGACCTGTTAAAAGAAGGTAGGACAGGGAGGCCTCAGCCCCAGGCACAGGGAGGCTGGGGGTGGCCCGGAGCATGTGCAGGGGTTGTTTTGGAAGTTGGGGGTGGCAGCCAGCGTCCCCACCCCGGCGGGCCACATCATGAGGCCATCCCTGGCACAGGGAGATCATTTTCTTTGGCTGTTGTTGTTTTTGTAACTTCTTTAAAGCTCTTTTTCTCTTCGCAAACCTTTGTTGGGTGGACTTGCCCATTTGGCTGAGTTCTGCCAGTGGGTGTGGCCTCCGAGAAACCCGCCATGCGCCCAGGGCATGTGGTGCCCAGCTCCCCTGCCCGTCCCTCAGTCCTTCAGCAGCCTGGGGGTCGTGGGTGGGCTGGAACCCTTTCTTCCCGGCCCGTCCTGTCCCCTAACGAAGCGCAGGCGGGATGTGGAGTCCATGGCGAGCGGCTGGGAGGCACGCTTCTGGCAGAGAAAGTCCACGTTTCATCTGACAGTTGTGACCAACTGTTTGCTGGCTTCTACTTGGTGACACATAAGACGATGCTGCGTCTCGCTCTGTGAATGCTCGAGGCCCTGAAAGCAGTGGCCACACTTGGGCAGCCTACATCCTGTCCTCCTTGGAGGTGCCAGGGGCTGGGGAGAGGGGGTGGGCACCGAGCCCCCGGCACAGTGGGTCAGGCTCCTGTGGTGCCCAACCAGGCCGGGCGGCTGAGAGCTGCCCGCCGGCCAAGCCGCCTCCCGTAGCTGCCCTCAGCTCAGGAGATCCCCCTACCTCCTGTCGTCTGGCCTCCCCCTTCTCATGGTTACTGGTCACTTACTTCCCGCTGTCCCTGGCTGTGTCATCGTTTCCTGTGAAAGTAGCATTTAGCCGTTAGCTGTGAGCTGGCCTGACGGCCACACCGTGTGGCTCGTGGGCTCCAGGGGTGGTTCTGATACTGTCTCACGTGAGCCCTCCCCTCTGTGGAGCTGGTCCTGGCCTTGGTCTGCGTCCTCCGGAGTGTGAGGGGTCTGCTTGACGGCCAGGCCCCGAGGCCACGCTCGGACCCACTGTTCTCTTGGGCCCCTCGGGTGCCCTCCTCCGTGTGCCCCAAGGTTCTTCTGCTGAGCCTGCCCTGGAGCCTTGAGGGCTGTGGCCGGTCGCTGCTCCTGACCCCTTGGTCCTCAGAGAAAGCCCAGCAGGCGACTCCCGGTGTTTGTCATGTGGGGCCAGCTGGACGGGGTGGGACCAGAGCTGGGTGCTCTGCTCCTCCGTCTCCCTCCTCTCCATTTCCCCCGTCACGTATATCTCTAAGAATCTTGTATAAATGCCGGACTTTCCTTTTCTTAGACCTCCTGTCCTCCTCGGGATGTGCTGTCCGGTCTCTCGGAGGCTGGTCTGCTTGTTTCAAATGTTGATCCTGGCTCGCATGCGTTACTTCCTTCAACGCACGCCTCTCATGCACACATACACGCCGTGCACAGGCTCACACACCCGCTTCCGCCTGTTGGGTCTGGTCTCTTCTTTGTCTTGGGGGCTCCTGCCTGTCTGGTCAGACGAGAGAAGGAGGCATTAAGTAGGGGTGGCAGGAAGCCGTGTGGCGGGTGGTCACACCAGGATGTGTGCGGTGCCCTCCAACCATCCGTGCACGTCTGTCTCTGTCCCGCGTGTGGCAAGGCTGCCCTCTCTTCTGGCCCAGGTGCTCTGCCCTTTGCCGGCCCTTCTGGGCCTTCACTGTCACTTCTCGGGGCTCTCCTGAGTGCCTGTGCCCCACTTCTACCTGACCACGCAGTGGTCTCCCTGCTGCAGCCCCTCCCTGAGTGAGCTGGGCCCCATCCCCCTGCCGTGGGCGCTGTTGGTGCGAGGGCGCCACCCCAGAACCGCCATCCTCCAGCAGCTCGAAGTGCTTCCCAGGCCCACGCCATCCTGAAGCTGGGTCTCTGGCGGTGTCGCGTCCCACCTTCCCAGCCTGGCTGAGGGTAAAGGACCTGGTGAGGGCACGTCCACTTGGAAATTCGAGAGGCTATGTGAAACCAAAGGAGGCCACAGCCTGGGCTGGGCTGTCAGAGGCCCTCACCATCCCGAGCAGTGGCCTCAGGGCTTGGTGGGAGGACATACCTTGTCGCCTCTGCGCAGCCGGCCACCTCAGATCCTTGATCTGCTCTCGGGGTGCCAGGCTTGGGTCGAAAGGGGTGGGAGGCCCTGACCAAGGCCCTGCCTGCGGTGCAGGGGCCGTGGTCAGTGTCCCTGCAGGCCTGCCTCCTCCTGGAGCCCAGGACCCTTTCCAGTGACCAAAGTGACACACCTGCCTTTAATGCATTTGGATTTCGAAGTGGACGCGCTGTGACGGCCAGCGTCGAGGCAGCCTGGTGCGGAAGGCAGATGGGCATTGTGGCGGGCTGTGCTTGTGGCTCTGGGCTCCGCTGCCTGGCAGTCACTGGGAGCCGGTGTGGCCTGCAGACCCGATGCCAGGAGGAGCTAGACCCTAGCTTCCCTGGTGCCCACTTGTCCTCTGGTGAGGGGTCTTAGGGCAGCGTCCCCACCAGGAAGGAGCCCACCCACGACACCGGGAAAATCCCAGCTGTGCTTGTCCTGCAGACACCGTGTTGCATGTTTCGCCTCACAGCCGCCAGGACCCTGGCCTCCAGGGTGACTGTGGGGGATGTGCCCTTACCGCCCCCCCGCCCCGACCGATCCATCCTGCGTGTCTGCAGTGTGGGGCTTCTCCATGAGCCCCCTGGCCCAGCAGCCTCCCCAGGCCTGGTCAGGCCTCACCTTCCCCGTGGCGTGCTTCCTTGGTGACTTTGAGCTGCTCCCAGCCCCGCTCAAGGCCCCCGCTCACACCAGGCCCCCCAGTGGGCTTGCTGAGCTCTGTGAGGGGTCCCCGTCTTTGTCTGGGGGTTCGTTGTCACCAAGAGCAAAGGGGCTGAGTGATGTCACACGCAGTCTGAGAGCCTGAGCTGAATGGTGGGTGTGGCCTCGGCCAGGAAACTGGACACAGACCGTTATGGGGCATCTTCCTGGTTCCGGCCTGGTTCTGCTGGGATGTGGATTCTCCTGAGGGCTCTTGTGGCACCCCTGTCCTGTGCTCTGAGTAAAGGTTACTTTCTCAGAGGCCATCCCGCCCTCGCCGATTCTGGAGCAGTCAGCATTGGCTGCTCCCCAGGATGGAAACCCCCCAAACAGCCGTGGCTGCACAGAGCCCCACTGGCTGGCTGCAGGGTTAGGAGTGGCCAGGCTGGGGTGCGGGGGCTCTCGCCTGGGAAGAAAAGATGGACTGAAACAGTCCTTTTTGGCACTGGGAAGGTCCTTGGGTGGCATGTCCACATCTGGACCATGTTGATGTCGGACCGTGAGTGCTGCCACTGGGGACAGAGAACAGCCGCCCGGAAACACGCAGTCGCTCGGAATAAAACCTTGATTAAACAAAAACCGAGCCGCCTCTGCCCACCTTGGTCACAGCTGGCTGTTTCTGCTGTGGTGCCCTGAGTGGGGCTGGGGTCCTGCCTCAGGGGTGCTCACCCAGGCCCTCCCGACATCTCCTGTCTTCAAGCTCCTCCACCCAAGGGCCCATGGTCACTCCAGCCCCTGGGTGTGCACTGTTTCCAGCTGTGAAAATGCATGGAGTACGGAGCATGTGCCTGCAGCTCCGCACTCCCTCAGTGTGCACGCGCATGTGTGTGCGCATGCACTCTGGCTGGAGCCTCCTGGGCCCACTTGGTCCTCCCCTACCCAGCATCTCCCAGCATCCGGGCAGGAGGGCATGTGGCCAGTGGACCATTGTCCCATCAACCCTTGGAAGCAGGCAGACTTTTGGCTGTGGCAGACCTTGCCGAAGCTGTGGGGGTCTTCTCACGGCCTGTGTTGGTCTCACTGGCTGCATTTCTTCCTGGTAGGCGAGGAGGATGGCCGAGACCAGTCCAAACTGGAGACCAAGGTGTGGGAGGCACACAACCCGCTCATAGACAAGCAGATCGACCAGTTCCTGGTGGTGGCCCGGTGAGTTTGGGGTGCCAGGGATGGCAGGAGGACTCAGCCTGGAGGGTTGCCTCCTTGCCCTGCTGTGGGTGTTGGGGACATGGGGGCCCTGGTGTCTGTCCTGCAGGGGATCGCCCAGTGAGGAGCGTGGGAGCTCACAGGGGTCCTCACTCTGTTGAGACCCCCTTGGAATTCCCAAGGAGGCCTGGCTGAGTCTGGCCCAGCTCTTCCCTGGATGTGGGGATGGCTCTTGGCTGCTGACTCTGCTGCTGGGTCCCTGCAGGTCCTCGGGCAGCTCTGGCTTTGAGGGGCTGGGCAAGTGCACCCACCCATGTCCCTCAGGGGCCACCTGCTGGCAGAGGCTGAGCAGGCTGGGTGCAGACCGGGCTTTCCCCTCAGGCCTCAGATGGACAGGGCCTTGTCTAGCTCTGCCAGCCTTGGAGACAGGTGGAGGCAGCCAGGAGGGAAGGGCGGTGCCTCGTGCCCCCTTATGGCATGAGAGTGGCAGCGCTCCAAGGAGCATTTTCTGCCCAGGCAGACCCCCAGGTGGTGCCGGGGCTGGGGCGGTGGGAGGGGAGTCCTGCGAGCACACGGTGGGCCAGCCCAGAAGGCTCCTATGTGTCTCAGCTGGGCCGGGCGCCCTTGGGGACAGCGTGGAAACGGGTCCTGGGCTTTCACTGTGGAGGGGGAGCCTCGTGGTCCTCTTTCCTGAGATGAGCTCTGCGGGATGCCCAGGACGTGAGGTCTCAGCGCTGCACAGCCCGACGCAGAGCCAGTGGCTCTCTGTCAGCCGTCTGTGGGTTAGGGTAGGGAGCTTTTCAGTTGATGCCCATGAGGTTTCTGTTCCTGGTGCCCGGGGCTGCTCTGGTCAGCTGGCCCCTGGGTGCTGCTCTGGCGGTGTGAGCACTGTCTGCTCCCCTGGCCGGCCATGTCTCCTCCCCTGGCCGGCCATGTCTCTGCGTGTCTTCACGTCTCCTGCTGTCCAGCTCCAGCGGTCAGTGTCTCTCCTCCCCAGCTCCGTGGGCACCTTTGCACGGGCCCTGGACTGCAGCAGCTCCGTCCGCCAGCCCAGCCTGCACATGAGTGCCGCGGCTGCCTCCCGGGACATCACCCTGGTGAGTGGGATGCCCTCAGCCCCAGGTGTCTGCACCGGTCCAGCACCCAGCCTCGCCCTGCACATTCTCAGGCCCTGCTGGGACCTGCCGTGCTATGGGCTGTCCTGTCCCCGCCCTGCTCCTTCACACTCCTCTGTCTTGGGGGGCAACTGTACCTTCCAGAAGATGGCTTACCCGCCAGGGCCGACCCTTCTCGCGTGCACAGGCCCACTATGCCTGGGCCACTTTCCCCTGGGGTCACTGCATCAGCCCGGGGAGGTGGGGATGGCAGCAAGAAAGCAAGTGGATCACTCACTGTCTGCTGGTTCCACATGCCTGGGATGGGCCCCTGTGCCCTCCTGCACTCCCCACCATGCTGGTGGGGACCCCAGGCACGGGGCCTCCCTCGGGTCCTCTGGAGGGGCTCTCCCTGTCAGGGCAGCCCAGGAGCAAGCCAGCCTCTGTCTCTTCTACTCCGAGCAGCTCTGTTCTCCCCATATCTCCCCGGGCCCCAGCCGCCCCTTGGGACCAGCCTTGTCTCCTCCTGGTAGGGAGAGGTGGTGAGCCCACATGGGGCTCTGGTATCCTTGTGACAGCCCGGTCATGGCCTGAGTCGTCCCCTGCCATGGGGTGGGGCACGGTCAGTGCAGTGGAGCCCGGGTGACCCCCTCTTCTCCTGCCGCAGTTCCACGCCATGGACACGCTGCACAAGAGTGTGTACGATGTCGCCAAGGCCATCTCGGCGCTGGTGCCGCAGGGCGGGCCCGTGCTCTGCAGGGACGAGATGGAGGAGTGGTCAGCCTCAGAGGCCAGCCTTTTCGAGGAGGCCCTGGAGAAGTATGGGAAAGATTTCACAGACATTCAGCAAGATTTTGTGAGTACTGTGGGGTGGGCTCAGGATCCCACCCTCCCCGCAGGGCCACAGCGTGTCCGTTCCCATCATCTGTTAGCAGCTCCTGAGTTGATGTGCAGAGGTGCCTGGCGCTGCCTGGGCTAAGAGTGCACATGCACCTGGGCGAGCCGTTGGTCCAGGGGCAGCACTGGGGTCCCCGGGTCCTCTCTGGCACTTACAGGCCCGAGCTCGTTGGAGTTTGTTAATTTGGTTTTGTTGGTTGTTAACTAGCTGAGCCTCTCATTATGTGTCCTTGTTTTGTGTCCCTTGGAAGTGTCCCCCAGTGAGCCTGGGGGAATCCCAGCCAGGCAGGGCCGGTGCCCTCAGGGATACTTCCCCACTTAGATCCCTAAAACACACTTAAACTCATCTGAAGGGAGAGCAGCCTTACCCCACAGCGAACCCGATGGATCCCTCGGAGAGGAACATGTCTAAGCAGAAGGTGGGGGGTGACCACCAGCCCCAAGGAGGGGCCATGCATGGGCTCGCCAGTATCTGATTAGGAGGGTCACCCCACAGTACCAGGCAGAGCTTTGAGAAGCCTCCAGAAGGCAGAAGAAACTACCAAGGGTGGAGAAGTGCTGTTGGTCAAGGCAGCCAGGCCTGCCCCAAGTTGGTCCCCAGAGGGGCCACCGGAGGGACCCGCCAAGGCAAGGGGGCTCCAGGCCCTTGGAGAAGCAGAGTGCAGGGCAAGCAGGGTGTCGCAGGCGGGAGTGTGGCAAGCGCTCTACTGACCTGCCCAGAGAGCTGGCTGCATCCACAAGGCTGACGTGTACATAACTTGCTGAAAACCGAGCGAGGTGAGCAAGACTTTCTCTGACAAAGATGAATCGAGCTGGAGACGGGGCTAGAGGTCAGACTCGAGGCACGAGGCAGCAGGGGCATGTGCCCCCCACTTCACCAACGTCACCCCCGCATGCCAGGGACACGGCAGGGATGTGCCACAGGCGCTGGAGACACGGGGCGGCAGACCCCTCTTGGAGGCCAGCACCTCCTCCTCGGCGACAGGTGAAGTGCCCGCAGTGCCGACACTGCCTGGACTCTGGACTCAGCCAGGCCGGCGTCTCAGACAGACCTCGGCGCCCGAGCGGCGTGCTCGCGGGGAGCCAGTTCTGTGGTGGCACAGCCAGCCCGGAGCAGCAGAGCCTGCGCGGGTGGGAGGGAGGCTCACCACCACCTGGACCAGAACTCAAGCCCTTGGGAATTCGAAGCTGGTGCCCAAAGGAAGCACGAGCTAGAACTCGAGAACACACACGGAATGTTCTGGAGTAACATTGGTGAAGACAGTGCAGACTTAACAGTCTTTGCGCTGTTGACAAGGAGGCGTGTGGAGGGAACGCCAGGACCGTGCACGTGACTGTGGCAGGGGGAGCAAGGACATGCACCTGGGGGCTGAGGTTCAGGTGCTTTAGGGAGGACGGAGCTGAGGCAGGAAGTTCTCGGTTAGATCGCCCGCCCCAGGCGCGGAGTGAGGAGCACTGTGAGAGATGTGGTTTCTCTAAGATGAAGGGCAGCTGGACGGGCGAGGCCCCCAGCCCCCAGGAGGGGTCCCCATGTGTCTTTGCTTCAGGGAAGCCCCATCCTCCTGCGTGGGGGTCAGCGGGGTATCCCACCCCGCCTGATGCGCCCCTTTCTCGCCCAGCTGCCCTGGAAGTCGCTCACCAGCATCATCGAGTACTACTACATGTGGAAGACCACCGACAGATACGTGCAGCAGGTGAGCTGCCCGCTGCCCTCCTCCGCCCCACACACTCCTGGCCAGGGCCCCCTCCGCTGCTCAAGTGTCAGGTCCTGTGTGCATGTCAGGATGACCTCTCCCAAACGTCTTCCTGAGGGTGGGGCTGGCCCAGTGGCGCAGCTAAGTTCACACGTTCTGCTTTGGTGGCCCGGGGTTTGCCGGTTCAGATCCCAGGTGTGGACCTACGTACTGCTTGGCAGCCATGCTGTGGCAGGCAGCCCACATATAAGTAGAGGAAGATGGGCACCAATGTTAGCCCAGGGCCAGTCTTCCTCGGCAAAAAGAGGAGGATTGGCAGCAGATGTTAGCTCAGGGCTCATCTTCCTCAAAAAAACCAAAACCAAGCAAATAAAAAAACTCTTCCTGAGGGAGACAGTGGGGGGACACGGATTCACCCCTCCCCGTGGCCAGCCCCTTCCCCAGGCCCAGCTTTCTGGCTTCCCTGACCCTCTGGGTTTTGTGTTTTAAGAAACGCTTGAAAGCAGCTGAAGCAGAGAGCAAGTTAAAACAAGTTTATATCCCCAACTAGTAAGTACGCCCTCACAGCACCCCCTCACTATCTCTGGGGGTGGGGGCTGGGTGGGCCCAGGCACAGTGCCGGCGTCAGGTGGTCCCTAGGCAAGTTGGGGTAGGGCCTTGGCCTCCCAGGTAGTTGGGATTCAACTCTGGGCTCAGCTGAGTGCTGGCAGACAGAGCTGGGGTGTAGACAAGGGCTCAGACCTCCATGGGAGCCACTTCTAGAACTTGAGGGGATAAAGATCGCACAGCCCTGGGTGAGAGGAAGGCCGGCTCCCCTGTGCCGGGGTGTTCTGGATGGGGTCTGCCAGCACCCTGGGAGCCTTGCTGTCTTGGGAGCTGTGCACCAATGGCCTGGCTCCCCCGTGACATCCTCCCTTTCTCCTTTACCCTAAGTAACAAGCCAAATCCAAACCAGATCAGCGTCAATAACGTCAAGGCAGGCGTGGTGAATGGCGCGGGGGCGCCAGGCCAGAGCCCCGGGGCTGGCCGGGCCTGCGAGAGCTGTTACAGTAAGTGCCCCGCCGCCTGGCACCCGGGGCACACCCAGCCCTCAGTGCTGGGCCCTGACCATCCTGGGGGGCGGGGGCCACACCCTACCCAGGGAAGCCCTCCTCTCGGGGTCCACGGGGTGCCCGGGCCCGCGGGTGGGGTGGCTCGGCGGGCGGGTGACAGCTGTGGAATGCTCTCTGCCGTCACTGGTTCTGCTTAAGAATCCGTCTATTTCCAACTTTATGTCCGTAGCCACCCAGTCTTACCAGTGGTATTCTTGGGGTCCCCCTAACATGCAGTGTCGTCTCTGCGCATCTTGTTGGACATATTGGAAGAAATATGGTGGCTTGAAAATGCCAACCCGGTTAGATGGAGAGAGGCCAGGACCAAACCGCAGTAACATGGTAAGTGGGCCCCCCTCCCGCCCCACGCGTGGCCACGTGGCCCGGCCCTCGGTCATGGCGCTGTGTCGGGGCGGCGCGCCCCCTTCCGCAGAGCCCCCACGGCATCCCAGCCCGGAGCAGCGGGAGCCCCAAGTTTGCCATGAAGACGAGACAGGCCTTCTACCTGCACACCACCAAGCTCACGCGGATCGCCCGGCGCCTGTGCCGAGAGATCCTGCGCCCGTGGCACGCCGCCAGGCACCCCTACATGCCCATCAACAGCGCAGCCATCAAGGCCGAATGTGAGTACTCGCCCCCTTCTATGGGAGGGAGACGTCCATGGAGTATGGAGGGGTGGCGGGGCCCCAACGAGAGCTCTTGCCCCTGTGCTCCCCTCGTGCATGCCCAGCCCCTCACACCGCACGGCCCCCCACAGGCACGGCCCGGCTGCCTGAAGCTTCCCAGAGCCCACTGGTGCTGAAGCAGGCCGTGCGGAAGCCGCTGGAAGCCGTGCTTCGGTATCTCGGTAAGCCTGCCCCACCCCCAGCACCACGTGGGCGGCCAGGGGCCAGGCTGCCTGTAGGGAGGAGAGCCACCCTCGATGCTACCAGTGCTGAGTGTGCACCTCCTACTGTGCCAGGCTCAGGTGGGGCCCTTCAGGCTTGAGCTGCTGTGTCCTGCAGTCCCTGTGGGTCTGGGGCCCAGGGTTTGGGTTGGGCACAGCTGCTCCTTGATGCCTGTGGGCCAGGCTGGTGTCTGCTGCAGGCCCACAGCTAGGCGGGAGGTACGCACACCCAGCCAGCAGCCTCACTCTGAGGGCCTTCATGGCCTGGGACCCTGAGCATCTCAGCCGGCACCGCTTCTTGGCACAGCTTTGCCCTCCATCCGGCCACCATGGGGGGCTCTGGCCGGAGGGCTGGTGCTCGCTGCTCTGCTGGGCCCGGGGGGGGTGCGGCTCATGAGTCAGTCCCTCCCGGCATGGAGGTGACTTTCCTTCCATGAAGGACATTCCAGAACCGTGAGCTAAGTGTGTTCTGCACAGACACAAGTGGCTTTGGCGTCACTCGCTGTCTGGGGTCTTGGTCCTTGGGCTGGCTTCGCCCCATCCTGTGGGAGGAGGTGGCCTCTGGCTCCTGAGAGCCACCAAGGGCTGGGAGCCCTGGCAGGTGCAGGCCTGTGCCTCCAGGGCTGGCCTAGCCAGGCCATTAATTCATCATCTGGCCAGCGGCCAGCCCCCTGCCATCAGCTCCGGTGGTCTGGACCTGGAGGCCTCTAATGGGCCTGCCTGTTTATGGGCCTGCGTCTGGAACCTGTAAGCTGCTGACAGTTGCCCAGTGATCCAGCTGGTTGGCTGTGGCCAAGGGACCGAGGTCCTGGCCCCACCAGGCTGTCCCCTGGTGGGCCCTGGTCACCCTCAGTCGGGGTGGGGCCGAGAGGGCTGCCATAGCCATTTGCTCCCCACAAAGCGACCCTGTCTGCGTTGCTCCGACAGAGACCCACCCCCGTCCCCCCAAGCCTGACCCCGTGAAGAACGTGTCCGGCGTGCTCAGTGGCCTGACTCCCGCCAAGGCAGCCCCCGTCATCAACAATGGCTCCCCCACCATCCTGGGCAAGAGAAGCTATGAGCAGCACAACGGGGTGGACGGTGAGTCCGGCGGGGCCAGGCGGGGCCGTGGCGCTCGGCCAACGCAGTGCCCGCGTCCGCTGACCGTGCTCTCTCTCCCTCTCTCCCGCCGTCGGGCGCTGCCAGGCAACATGAAGAAGCGCCTCTTGATGCCCAGTAGGGGTAAGGCCCGGGGCGGCCGCTGGCGGGGCGCGGTGCCTGCCCTCTGTCGGTGCTTGTGTGCTGTGCTCTCGTGTGCCTGGGGCACGGCGGGCGGCCCAGGCCACGTCCACGGGGCAGTCCACACAGGCCGGCTGCGCCCCTCCTGAGTCCCTGGTCACCTGGCCAAGAGCCAAGCTCTGCCCCGTGGGCCCTGACTCACCCAAGTGCCATCTCCTGCCCGGGGGCCTCTGGCTCATGGGCCGTCCTGTCCTTCCTGGCCCGGCACCCGGTCAGTGGACTGTCCTCGCTTGTGTGGCCCTGGTGCCCCCGCCGCCCACCTGTGCTGTCTGCCATCGCACTGTGACCACTCGCATGCCATCAGCCTCAGTTCGCGTGGCCGCCTGCGCTGTGCCTGCAACCCTCGTGTGCGCTCCTGCCTGGTGGGGGGCTGTGGGACCCCGGCCCCACCAGGGGGCAGATAGGACAGAGCCGTGGCATGGTCAGCATGGATGGGGGAGGTGTGCGAGGCCCAGGTGAACGCCAGGCCAGGGCCTCCCCGGGAGGCGTGCCCAGGGGTGAGGGGTCCTGGAACTGAGGCAGCACACCCTCTCCCGAGTGGAGCAGGATGCTTGAGGAAGGGGACTGAGGCCTGCAGACGGTACACGGGGCAGGCCGCCTGGGGACCCTCCTGCCATCAAGTGCCTAGTTGGCGGTGGCCTCAGGAGGGGACTCCTAATCATCTGGTCTCCACGGCCATTGCTCCCCCCACTGACCCAGGGCTCTGCTTTTGCCTCTTAGCTGGGTGAGGGGCGTCGTGGGCTCAGGGGTTCCAGCGTGGGGAGCTAGGAGAGGGGTGACTCTGGTGGCGGTGTGGGGCTTGTCAGCCCTGGAGGCCCCAGCACCCTGCAGGGTCAGCCTATGGCAGGCTCCATGTGGGAGAGAGGTGGATGGAACCGAAGGGAAGAGCACAGCAAGTGCGCTCAGTTGCCTTCTGCTAGCCCCTCGCGACAGGAGTGTCAGGGGTCACCCCAGCACCCTGGGTGAGCCAGCATGGATGTCCCCCTCCTCAAGCTCAGGACTGGCCCCTTGAGGGCTGGCTAAGGTGGTGGGCCAGATTCCATCGTCTCCCAGGACCTGTGGGCAGCGGGCAGCGGCTGCAGCCTAGCCTCATGCCCTAGGCATTCTCTCTCTCAGCTGCATCTGGGAGCGTCGGCAGGCGTGCCCTGTGGGGTCAGCAGCAGCTCTGCTGCCAGGTTCTGCCACCTCTCTCCATCTGGACACAGGCTTTCTCGCCTACCCCAGGCCCCCCATTCTCCTGCTGCCTCCATCCATGAGCCCCTTGTAGGGGCTCCCTGTCGCCCTGGCCCTGCCCACCTAATGCTGGTCACCCCATAGCCATCTGGCGAGGGGCTGCTGCAGGGCCGGCCTCGGCAGCAAGGTCTGCCCCACCAGGGGCAGCCCGGGGACAGTCTGATCAGACACTCCCGAAGTGGAAGTGGGTACTCATCTCAGGCATCTTTGGGCTTTTGGGCTTGTTTTGTAAAAAGCTGTCAACAAAAGGGATCAAGTCTATTTACTCCTGTCGGTTTTCTCAAAATCCATGCACTTCAGCACCGACTTGAGTTCCACTGTGCAGGCCCCGAGGAGCACGGGCAGTGGTGCACCTCCTCGTGCAAGCCCGCTGAGTCCACCACTGGACCCCTGGGGTGCCATAGGACCACCCGGGCTGGGGGGCACCAGCACAGATGGGTGGGCAGGCGTGAGCTGAGCTCTGGTTAGGGGCCCGGCCCCACTGCAGCGCTGGGGCCATAACTCACCAACCTGGCCCCGCCATGCGCTCCGCTCTGCTCCGCTCCACATCTGCCTCCCTCAGCCGCCAGCGCACATGATCACTCTAACCTAAACCTGTGTTTTCTTCCCTCCGCGAACCCTGGTTCTGATAGGCACTTACCTGGGTAAGTAGCACTTGGCCCGGGGGCTGCAGGCCAGGTGCTGTGGCCATCCCTCCGCCCCTCCGGCGCCCCAGGCCAGGAGGTGGTGTGCAGCTGGAAGAGGGCGGGACAGCTCTTTTCTGCTCCTCAAGAGATGAGCCTGACTGAGGAGCACTTTGGGGAAGAGCTGGTCCTGGGAGGCCCTGGGCAGGTCCCTGCGGGTCAGCAGGGCTGGCCGGCACGGGGCGGCAATGAGTTCCTGCTCACACACATATGTGCACACACTCAGGTTCCTGCCCACACACACTGGCTCCCACTCACACACTCGTGTACACACACTCGTGTGCATGCTCACACACACAGGGCGAGGGAGGCATTGCGGCCCTGGGGTGGGTGCTGCCCCTCAGCCCAGGTCCTTGCCCAGCGTGCATTTGGGAGTCAGGGCCTTGGTGCCCGTGGTGGGTGGCCAGGGCCCAGGGTGGTGGTGTCAACTGTGCCCTGGGACGGCACCTTTCCTGAGTCACCAGCAGAGGCTTGCGGCTCGAGCACCCGGCCCACAGCCTGGAAGTGCCTGTGCCATGGGCAGCCAACCCCAGGGTCAGCGAGGGAGCTCGGAGCCCCTTGGGAAGAAGCCCAGTGTGGCCAGGCCTCCTGGGCTTGGAGTGGCCGCCCCACAGAGGAGCTCTCTCTTGCTGCTGTATCTACAGCTGGGTGGGGGTTACCTGGTTAGCGTATAAACCTGGCTGCATCTGTCTTGGCCCAATCAAGGGCAGGCGGGCGGCCTGTGCTGGGAGTGAGCTGTGAGGTCCAAGACTCCTGACATCCAGCCCAGAGCCCAAGCTGATGCCTCTTCTCCTGGCCAGGCAGAGGTGGCCCTCAGAGCCCCTGAGCGTGGGGGGCTGCAAGGGGCCACCTGGGCTGGGCAGGCCCGAGAGGAGCTGAGGCACCTGTGTCCTCCAGGCCCTTCCTGGGGGGGGGGCTGCAGCCTTGGGGGACGTGGCCCAGCTTTTCTGCCTCTCGGATGCGGATCCCCGGTGGGTGTGCAGGTGCAAGACGGGCCTGCCCGGGAGCCTCATGCTCTTTTCTCCTTCCTCTTGTCAGGTTTGGCGAACCACGGACAGACCAGGCACATGGTAAGAGGGAGGGCTGGGCCTCAGTGGCCCCTGCCCCCTGCATCCGTGTGCACACGTGTGTTCACCCAGCTCCGTTGGGAAGAGACCCTGGCAGCCCTCCCAGGCGCTGTGTGGAGCATCTGGGAGGCCCAGCGGCACCAGAGGAGGGGCAGGCTGTGAGCGGGGGAGCCCGGCCTCCACACTTTCCTGTTGGGACCACCTGGGGGTTTCAGGGTGCAGTGTCATCTGCCAGGGCCTGGCTGGTGGTGGAGCCATGCTGCTAGGGTGCAGGGTGCAGTGTGGAGACCCCAGGAAGTCGCCTCACAGCACCCCTCCACCACAGGGACCAAGCCGCAACCTCCTGCTCAACGGGAAGTCGTACCCCACCAAAGTGCGCCTGATCCGGGGGGGCTCCCTGCCCCCCGTCAAGCGGCGGCGGATGAACTGGATCGATGCCCCGGATGACGTGTTTTACATGGCCACCGAGGAGACCAGGTGAGGGCCTCCCCAGGGCAGGAGGGGGGCTGGGAGGCAGCCCCGTGTCCCGTGCCAGGGTGTCATCGTCCCTCACAGGAAGATGCGCAAGCTGCTCTCGTCCTCGGAGACCAAGCGCGCTGCCCGCAGGCCCTACAAGCCCATCGCCCTGCGCCAGAGCCAGGCCCTGCCACTGCGGCCGCCCCCGCCCGCGCCCGTCAACGACGAGCCCATCGTCATCGAGGACTAGGCGCCCGCCGCCCCGAGGCCGCTCTGACCACAGGCCACCCCCCGCCCGGTTTGGTAGTGCCCCCTCCCGCCCTCACTTGCAGAGAAACTGCCCCTCGGGCGCCGCTGGGGCCAGTGCGGCAGGACTCGCCCGAGCGCCCCCGGGGCATCTTAGCTTTGTGTCTCCTCTTTGGCCGGAGCGGAGCTGAGGAACCGAGCGCGCACCCACCCCGCCCTGCGGGCCTTGCGGGCCGCCGGAGTTTCGTTGTGTTCTGTTGAAGGTGCCATTTTAAATTTTATTTTTATTACTTGTTTTGTAGATGAACTTCAGCTCTGTAACTTACACCTGGAATGTTAGGATCGGCGTGGCCGGCGGCCGGCCGAGCTGCCTGGTGGGGTTGGCCTCTTGTCTTTTCAAGTAATTTTCATATTAAAAAAAACAAAGAAAAAAAAACTCATAAAAAGAAAAAACCAGCTAGCCCTTTCTGTGTCTTTTGTGCCTCTTCCTCTCCGTCTTGGACCTCGGCCCTCCCACCCCCCAGCACCCCGGAGGAGCCTGGCCTGGAGGGATGGCAGCCACCCTCTGGGTAGGGCCAGTTCTGGCCTTGCCAGTGTGGGTCCAGAGGCTGCCCCCAGCCTGGACACCCGGCCAGCCGATACGCAGGTGGCTCCAGGCCGGAGGTTCTGCCCTTGGGATGGGAGTACCCTGGAGGGGAAGCCCCAGTGAGCAGCGTGTGGCCCACCGCCATCCTGGCCTCCAGGCTGGGCTGGGGTTCTGCCTCTGCCCCCTATTCCTGCCTCCTGCACAGCCTGACCCAATGCCCACCATCCTCCCGTGGGGGTGGGAAGAGGACTGGCCAGGGCTCGGGCCCTTGACCCGGCAGAGCTGAGAGCCTTGTGTCTGTCTGAGGCAGGGGTGGCCTTGACTTGGCCTGGGACCCAGACTGGCAGGTGCCTGGCCCTGATGGCTGTGTGGCTCCCCTCCTGCTGGGGCAGCCAGCAGAGTGGGTCAGCTCAGCCCGCCCTCGTGCTCCTGGAAGAGCCGGGCCCCAGCTGTCTGAGGGTTTCTGCCCAGAGCTGTGGGCCACCCCTAGCAGGTGTGGAGTTTCCGCAGGGAAAATTTGCTCAGATTTCAGCAAGTCTGTTGTTCTCAGAAACCCTACCTCTGGCTTCCCCCTGCACCCACCCTCGCAGGCCCACAGGACAGGTGCGGGCCCGCCAGCCACCAGAGGGAAGGCTCCGGGAGGGGCGCCTCTCAGGCTGTGCCAACCCAACCGGCCCAGAGAGGGGTCAGCCGGCCCTCCCTGGGGGACTGCCTTGTTCCTCTTTCCTGAGTTCTGCCTCCTGCTCCCCAGGCCCCACCGGGATGTGTGGACATTTCAGCTAGAGAATTAAAATAGAAACCACTTCTACTCCTTGCTGCAGACAGATAAGGGGCATCCTGGTCTCCCTCCGCCAGCCTACCCTGGGGCCCAACAGGGTGACTGGCCAGGGTGTCGAAGGGGCTGCAGCATGCTCCCGCCCCCAGCCACTTCTGAATGGCAGTCCTGGCCCACACTGCCCCAGAATGGAGTTGCGGTATCTCAGCATGGGGCTGGGAGACCGGTGACCTTGAGAAGGACACCAGCTCTCTCTGGGGCCTTTCCAGCTCCTGGGGGCTGAGGATGGGGTGGGGAGGGGCTCTCCTCAGGCCCGGGGGGGCTTTCTCCCAACCTGGTCCTCCGCCCACGAGGCCCCAGTGAGATGGCCCCATCCTCACTGACATCTGTCCTAAGGGCAGGCGGCCCCTGGGGAGAATTGGGGCCCCCCACACCCAGCGCAGCACTCTGCTGGGCAGGGCCTGGGCTGCCCTGGGATCTGAGCCAGGGCTTAGGAGTGGGAGCGGGTGCAAGCTGGGGGAGCAAGGGCCTGGGCCCCCAGGAGGGGGTTTGACAGCTTCATCCTCTCCTCATAGGCCCAGCAGCGGGTTGAACCTGCCAGGGCAGGGGTATCTCAGGTGGGAAAGAGTCGTCCCCCGACATGGGGTTTGCTGAAGACCTGCTGAGCCTGCACCTGCTCTCCCTGCCCGGGCCACCCACTGCTCACTACGGAGCCCAGGCCTGGGCTCCAGCAGCAGAACGAGATGGGGGTCTTGTGTGCCGTTTGCCAACATTGCCGGGACGACAGGGCACGTGACAGCCATTGATCTGCAGGGCATCGTGACATTGTGGCCCCAGGGGAGGGACTTGCCCCCACACCTGTCCACCTGGCCCAGCCACTTCAGGGCCATGCCTGCTTCCTTCCAATCTTGCTGTCCTCACCTAGCCCCAAGTCCTCTGCACCAGAAGCTTGCCCTGCCCTGTCCCTGCCCCAGCCATAGCCCTCAGTGGCCTCAGAGGTGGATGCTGCTACCCTGTGTCCATCGATCTGGGTCCCTTCCCACCAGGTCCAGAATAGCCCTGAGCATCAGGCAGCCTCTGGTCTCTGCCCAGGGACAGAAGCTGGGGGCAGGGCACCATACGGTCCCACAGTCCCCCTCCCCATCTAGCCGGTGCTGGATGCCATTCCTTTGCCGCACCCCATCCACTCTCTTAGGAGGGCTGAGGCCAAGAGGGCGGGCCTTTCTCAGGTAGCCTCCTTCCGGAAGACACCTGTGCCCAGCTAGCCCCGCCCTCCACAGCAGCCCTGCAAGTGTCAGAGGTGGGCAGAGTCGGGGGTGATGCCCTGGCCCCCAGGGGTTCCCGAGCCAGAGAGGGCATGGGAGCTGATGCCAAGTGGGGGGCAGTGGGCGCATGAATTGTTCAGAGATGCCTGATGCCCAGCCTGAGCAAGGAGCAGGCTGTGAATGACTGACCTGAGGGCAGCCCCCAAGGCCGGTCTCCCTGCCCAGGAAGGGGACCATGGAGGCCTCCCCTCCATGCCCCCCTCCAGCCTTGGCTGGCACAGGGCCAGAGTCACGGTACGAACAGGGAGGAGGGCTGGTCGGCTGGTCAGTCAGGCTTGAGGGGGCCACATATTTCTGGGCTGTTGTCCTCACTTGCAGAAATGACAGCGGCTGTAGGGTGTGAGTGCAAGGAGGAGGGAGGCACCTCAGGAAGCTGGGGCGAGGCGGGGCCGCCAGGAAGCCTGGGTTCTGGAGAGCCCTGGGACACTGGCTCGCTCACTCATCTACTTTGCAAACATGCCTGGCACCAGCAGCCAGAAGCAGGTGATGGAGGCTGCTAGGCAGAGGAAAGGGCAGTGGCGGGCGGACCTCGTTTGTCCGGCACAGAGCCTGAAAGACACATGTTGGTGGACTAGGGTGCTGGAGCTGCCTGCTCAGACTGGGCTTGACCCTCTGGACTTGGGGGTCTGTGTATGTGCCAGGCTTGAGACTCAGCTGGGACAAGAGGACCAGAGCAGGGCGTAGGAGGTGGAGTCCCAGGGAGGAGGCCCAAGCATCTTCCAGGTCCCCCCATCCCAGGGTTAGGACTAGGTTCTGCATGGCACCAGGGTGGCAGCAGGTCCAGGGGGAGGGGGGAAGTGGTCAAGCAGGCCCCTGTTGGGAGGAGAACTGTGGGGCTCTGGGGAGGACCCTGAGTGCTGACAGATCCCTAGCTCTCCGGCCCTTCAGAAGGATGCTTTGAGCCAGGAGGCTAGAGTCAGGAGCTCTGGGCCACGAGCTGGGTGTCCAGAGGAGGAATGCTGGGGAGGGGAAAGAATGCAGATGGCGGTGTGAGTCCTCGGGCACAAGAAGGCACTCCTGGGCCCTCCATCTCTTCTTTCCTTCCTCATACCCCTGGGTCGGTCCCCAGAACGGGAGAGGTGGGGAGGCGCGTCCAGCAGAGGCCCGAGGGTCCCCTCCTCCCTGTTGCTCCCTCCCGCCCCTTCCAGCAGTTTCTGTCGCGCTGTTCTTGGAAGTGGCGGGCACTCTGCCCTCACCCGCTGAGCTGTCAGCACCACCGACAGTGTTGGGCGAGCCGGAGGCGGCGGGGCCGGGCCCGGGTCTGGGCCGGGAGGCTGCGCGCGCCCGGAATCCGGCTCTGATCCCGCCGCGCGGCTGTTGCTATAGAAACCGAGAAACAAAGGGAAGCGGGCGGGCGGCGCGCGACAGGGTGGGGGTGGGGTCCCCCGGGGGACCTGGGCGCCGGGGCCGGGCGTGGTGGACCCGTCCGCCGTCTAGGCGTCCGTCTGCGTGTCCAGGGGCCGCCCTTCCGGGCCGAGGCCCCGCTGGCCAGCATTGCCCCCGAGCCGAGGGGGCCGCGGATTCCCGGCCCCGCCCCACGGCTCCGGCCTGGGGCCCCGACGTTGCCATGGAAATAGGCAAGGCCTGGGCCGGCCCCAGCAGGGCCACCGCGCGCGCGCGCCGGGCCGAGGGGTGCTGGGCAGGTCCGGCTGCCCCCCGTGCGCCTCAGCAGGTGCGCCCCCACCCCGCGGCGCCCCCCGTGCCCCGTGGCCGGACCCAGGGGCCGGGCTCCCGACGCCCCGCCCCAGCCGCGGAGCCAATGGGTGCGCGGACAGCCAGGCGGGCGGGGCGGGCGCGGCAGCGGCGGCGCGGAGACGGGCGCGGGCGGAGGGTGCGGGCGGACCGGGCGGACCGACCATGGCTTCCAAGTGCCCAAAGTGCGACAAGACCGTGTACTTCGGTGAGTGCTCGGGTCCGACCGGCGCCCCGCCGCCCCTCTCGGTCAGCCCCCTGCCGCAGAGCCGCACGCCCCCCGCGGTACCCGGCGTGCGCCCGCCCGGCCGCCGCCCCGGGATGCGCGGCCCCGGCCAGGCTCGCTGCGCTGCACACACGGGTGCGGCCGCAGGGTGGAGCTGCGATGAGGTGGGGGCGGCCGCGCCCGAACGCCGAAGCGGCCACTCGGGGCGGGACGGGGGCCCGGGGCCGGGCGGGCAGGGGTGCGTTGTCCCCCCGGGATGAAGCCGGGGTTGGGGGAGCGCTCTGGGTTCGCAGGAGCATGGTGATCCCCAGGCTGGGCCGAGCCGGGCGGGGTCGGGTGGGGCCGCTCACTCGGGGCGCCTCCCGGGCGCTCCTCCCTTTCTTGGCCCTTCCCCACGGACCCCAGTCCTGCCTCCCTGCGGACTCCTGGACAGGCCGGGTGGCCCCGAGCAGTGGCCCCCCCAACCCCCACCTCGACCTCTGCCCACGCGGGGCCAGGCCAGATCTGGGCTGTGTCTGGACTCAGTCCACGCGGGGGCGACCTTGGCTCCTACCTCCCGCGTGTCCAAACGCGTTCCCTTCCCTGGCTCCAGTTCCACCAGGACTTTCCTGCTGGTGGGGTGGGGTGACATGCAGGTCCCCACAAGCATGAGAGGGCACTGAAGCCCAGGTGGCCAGGCCCCCCTGCCTCCTCAAGGTCAGAACAGCCTTGGTCAGGAGGGGTAGCAGGGTAGGATCAGGGTTGTCTGTGCCAGGATGCCCCTGGATAGGCACAACCCTAACTCACTCTCTGGTGCTCACACCGGTTTTATGGCTTCCCCACTCTCCCTCCTCCTGGCTGATCCTCTCCCCGACTT